GCCGCCGGGTGCCGCCGTCGCCCGGCGCTTTGATAAACGGTCTGGGTCTGAGGCTTGTCTGTCGAGCTGCCGGGTTGCCGAGCTGCCGGGTTGCTGGGTTGCCGGGTGCTTGATTATCTTATCGGCGGGGCGACGGACAGCCGCGCAGTGGGCGCTCAGTGGGCGCGCGGCGGGCGCGGTGGGCGACGAGCTTTCCGCACTGCAAACATCCTGACTTTTCTCCACGGTGGTTTCAAGAGAAAAAGTCCGACTTTTTTGTAGCGATAAATTTCAAGAAAATATATATAAGCAGGAGATATTTTTTTGTCACGGAAAGGTGAGCTACTGTAGGAGAAAAAATACACAAAAACAGCCAGAGTTTTTTCGGGGGAAAGATTTGATCTATTGTGTCGCCAACAAGTCCCAAAAACAGGGTGAATTTTTATAGCCAATTTTCATAGGGAAAATGCACTCTGTTTTGCAACCAAACATACGACATTTTCTTATTTATTTTTTCAAGCTGTTTTTGCATATTTTATGCGACAAAAAAGTACCAAATTTCTCTCGTGACTGCTAGACTCAAATTGAACATACACATGAAAGAGTGGCGCTCTAAGGCAGAGCCGCGCCGGCACTTTGGAGCGGTTTACACGAGTTGCGCAGTGACAGAAGATCGTTAACGGCAAGAGCAGCGTCAAGTCCAGCGCCGAGGTTTGACCGAGGTCGAAAGAACCAAGCTAGTGAATGTCACGTCTTAAGACGAGACCGAGCTGCCTGCAGACATCATCATCGTTGCAACTTGCCATGGGTACGTACACATCACTGTGGACACAGCTCATGTGCTCCGTGCGCAGCTTCGACGGTGTGCGCGTGCCGATCCACATATTCATCAACATCAAGCTCTACGCGAGGATCTCGCCCGTGTGGGGCCTCGACGACGAGGGCGGGCTTAAGGATCCCTGGCGTGCGCTCGAGAGCTTACTGCGCTGTATGTGGCGCATGATGGGTGCGCTGTTTGCTCCCTTGATAAACTTTGGCGAGATCCTGACCGGTGGGGCTGGCTTCCGGTAGTGACTTGCTTTACCAGAGCTTTGTGTGTTACCGATTAGTGTGGAAACTACGGAGATTAAGGCGAAGTGGGAGCAGGGCTCGCTATATGAGACGCGCAACGCGGCGCCGGTTCCGTGGCGAGTACCGTCTGTTTTGATGCACCACTTGTGTCTATTGACAGATCATGACATTAGGAATCAAACAACAGAAGCTACCGCTGGGGAAAGGAGCAAATTGTCGGATGTTGTTCTCACAAGCTGTACATATACCAAATTCTGTACCATCCCGCCACTGAGAATGTCCGAGTCGGCGGTGAGGAAATTTAGAGAGACGCCCCAGAGGTACAGCGGCATATGATTTACAGCGACCAGGGGTTGGCATGATTTCTAGAGTAGTACAGATAACGAGGACAATGTTGGAACTAGTGTTGAATATGAGAAGGGAAGCGTTAAACGATAAGAAGTGACTGTCTGCCTTCAACACCAACATCAGGCCGGCACAACAGTCGGTGATCACTGACGGTCATAGGAAGATGGCGTGACCAATTATCAAAATTTGCATGAAAGATGTCTAGATTAAGTTACGGTCCTAACGGGGTTTAGAGCAGAAGACTCACCCAACTGGCACCCGTAGAAGAAAGCTCAGTTACCGTTCGGCGCAGGAAAATTAGACAACTCGGCGTCGTCCCCTTCGCTTATACGTTCGACGGAACGCAGCACCAGAGCGTCAGATCCCGTGAGTTCTTCTCGGCGTGTGGTCGGCGGGCCTGCCGGCTGCGCGAGACCTGATTCTAGACCATCTCGCGGCTCTTCTGCCGCACAGCGGCCGTCATCGCCATCGTCAAGTTCAGAGGCTCGCTCTGGTGCGCCATGGTCCAGAGGCTCGCCGACATTCCCTAGAAAATCAGAGGGAACTCTGAAGCTCACAGGGATGCGCGACAAGTGCTGCTCATCCGGGATGCTTGCACTGCTAGCCTGGCCGGTATGGCTGAGCTGGCGGAGGTTGAGGATGAAGCGTTGAACCAGCAACGGAGGCTATAAATAATGAGGTCTAGTCAGCGATTGATACCCAGCCGGCCGAGCGTAGTATGAGATATTTACCATGGACTGGACAAAGATGCTCGCATAGGTACCCTGTCGACATGAGATCAGAACCTTCCCATAGAGATGGATTTCGATAATTACCTGCACCAGGAGCATGTTTGAGTAGGTCAGGAGTTCTAGAACATTCATGGCTAGAAGTGCACTTGGGGTTCATATGTGAGACACAGCCATTGCGAACGCAC